TATATCATTTATATATATTTAATTAAAAATAGTATTTTATGTTGAAAAAGCAAAAATATGAATTAGAAATGAAGAGATGGCATGTGGTGGTGTTTTTTTCTCTCCCCTCCCTGCTCTTGTGACATCAAAGGTTATTGGACATGTGCTTTAGAATGTGTTTTTATTAAAGAAAATGTATGGAATTGATTTTGCTATTTAGAAGAGTTTAATTTATTTTGTTTTTCCTGTCCAGGAACATGATGAACCAATCCTTAAGCACTTGCAAGACATTAAAGTTAAATTCTCAGATGCAGGCCAGCCAATGGTGAGTCTGACCGTCTCTTCGTCTCCTGTCTGATGTCTTAATCTCACAGTTTACTCACAGTTTGGTCTCTTTTCAGAGTTTCACATTAGAGTTCTACTTTGAACCCAACGATTTCTTCGCAAACACAGTCCTGACAAAGACCTACAAAATGAGGTCTGAGCCAGACGAGTCGGATCCCTTCTCTTTCGACGGGCCAGAGATCATGGGCTGCACAGGGTACGGCTCGACCTCTGACTTTCACTCTGTTAGCTTTGACAACATTAGTTACATCAGAGACTGACTGTTTTCAGGTGCACGGTCGACTGGATTAAGGGCAAGAACGTCACATTGAAAACCATTAAGAAGAAACAGAAACATAAGGGACGTGGCACAGTGAGGACGGTCACCAAGACAGTCCCCAATGATTCGTTCTTCAATTTCTTCTCTCCGCCTGAAGGTAAAAACCCCCTCAAAACTACCACATCCCTGATTATCCATGTGTTAGTTTGTTGACTTGTTCATATTATTTTAGTAGAATAGCATTTGCTGATAATAAACTTTCTCTTCTTTACAGTTCCAGAAAGTGGTGAACTGGTGAGTAACTGATTTTATTCCTAGCCATGAACTTCATGAACATTTTGTCACTTTTTTTTCTAAATTTAGGTGGACTATACTCTTTTTATCATAAACGGACAACAATTTTGTTCAGATGTTTAACTGATGTATTTAAAGTATTACCTTTTTAGATCTTAGCCTTATATAGCTTCTTGGTAATTGTACGACTTTTATTTACTCCGTTTTCGCCATGAAGATAGCTTTGATGCTGACATGGCATTAACAAAATAAATGCGTATTTAAATTTCGCTATGCATGACCAGGGCCTAAAACTAACATTTTGACACATCTTTGTGGCAAATTGCACAAAAACAAGGGTAATTGACTTGAGAGAATTTACTGGACATTAAACTTATTTCATTAAAAAAAAAGGGCAGAACAAATTGGTGAAATGTCTGATTGCTGCTTTATTATTATTATTATTATTATTTTATATTATTTATTATTATTTAATCACATAAAAATGTTATTAAAGAAATAACACTATAAAACTTGAACTATTATTTCTGATTCATTTTAATTTATATAATACTGCTACCACTTATTACTATTATTATTATTATATTTATATAACAGTAATTAATTTATTTAAAAAATGTTTAATTACTTTCAAAAATTAAACCATAGAGCTCTTATTTTGGCTCAAAATCGCAGGGCAACTTCTTTTGAACTGCTTCTCTTTTGTTGACAACATTTATAAACACTTATTACAAGTTTGCTGTTTTTTTCCTCTTATTTGGTGCTTGGTGAGTGTTACTTCTAGGCCCTGTGGCATGACTGGTTTATCAGATTGGTGAATGTTAATTTGGCTGGTAATCATGAAGTCTCACTGTTATGATGAATGAGAGGTTTGTTTTTGCCGTGTGTTCAGGACGAGGACTCGGAGGCCGTGTTAGCAGCAGACTTTGAGATCGGTCACTTCATCCGCGAGCGGATCGTGCCCAGGGCAGTGCTATACTTCACCGGCGAGGCCATCGAAGATGACGACGATGACGTGAGTGAACGGCAGCCATCCTCTGTCATGAAGTCAAACGATGCTTTATTTCCAAACGTCTGACCGCTGTGTTTCTGTTGTGCTTTTTTTAGTATGACGAGGAGGGAGAGGAAGCCGATGATGAGGTTAGTTGTCTTCTGTTTTTCTGTTTTTATCAGCGTTATTCTTCTGGATGTGTGTAAACTGATATGTTTGTAACTTGCAGGAGGGTGAAGAGGAGGCCGACGAGGAGAACGATCCAGACTATGAGCCCAAGGTAAGAGTCCAGACGTCCATCGATGATCCTTATGGCAGGCCGATACTGAGATCTCAACATACAGAATACATACGGTCACCTCCACTCATGCATCTCTGCCTCTCTCGCCCTCAAACGCTGATTCTCCTGCCAAAAAAAAACAGTTCTTCATGATTTATTAACTTCAGCTTTATTTACTGTCATCTTTGGTCCATTCGAGAGAGAAATCCAAATGAGAACAGATCATTTTTTGACGAGTAGATAAATGACCGCAGTGTTTGCAGCATCTCTGTGAACGTCTGACCTTTAACCCCGATTTATAAATACTACACTGCAGTTCTGTGGGTATTTTTTGTTTCTCTGCTCTAAAATTCCTAGTAGCACATCTAAAGCAACAGCACTGAATATACGCTGCCCTACAGAGGTCAATTTAATGGTCAGTTTTCACCCTCCTGTTCCCATTTTTCGCTGAATCGGAGCATAGATGAGTAATGCAGCAGTGCTTTCTCCAAGGGGTCAAAGTTCAGGGTGGGAATGTTAATGGATATTCCTCCATTATTACTGACCTCATTCATTTGTAGGGCTGCATGATTTGGGGACAAAAATCTAATTGAAATATTTTATTTTTATTTTTTTCTGATGGTTGTGATTGAGAGGTTTGCTGTGCTTGTTGGGTTGCACTTTTAAAAAAAAAATTTTTTTTTATATCAATATGGCTATGTTGTTATAATAATAATAATAATAATAATAATAATAGAAATAAAAAATTATAGAAATGAAATCAAACAAAATATTACTTGAAATATTTCACTGTTAAGTTAACTTTCAGAAATAAATTATTTCTTATGCTCAATTTGTTTAATTTTACAGTGAGATTACAATGTATTTATATTTTTAATTTTAAAATTACTAAAGTATTGCTATTATAGTATTTCACTGTTAAATTAAAATGGGAAATTTTTGTTATCATTATTATTGGATATTAAATGCTAAATTTGTTTAGTTTTAAATAAATTATATTAGTAATATTTTGTTTTTGTATATTTTTATTAATATATAAATAATCCATTTTAATTTTACAGTGAAATTACAATAGGATTACAATTCAAATTCTAATTTGAATGGAGTATTTAAGAAATAATGATAATAATCATGAGCATTTTAGAAATGTAATATTTTTAGACCATAAAGCTACAGTGCTAATATTTATGGCTGTCTTAATTTCTTTATTTTTTTAACACTTCACTCTGAAAAAGTAAATTTAATTTCTTTGCATATTGCAATTTCGGTTTTAGTTCAGTTCATCGTGCAGCTCTACCTCCTTGGTTTGATTTGAGAATATTATACAATATCCTTCACTGTTCTGGATGAGGTCGAAGCATCACTGCAGGTTTATCTTCTCGGCGTAGTTCACAAACGTCTGTCTTCAGCATGCCAGTCTCTGACATATCTTTACTCAAAGCATGCACTTGCCTAATCAAACAGAATTACAGTAGGAAAATATTGACTTTTGTAAGCAAAGACATGATTAACATGTTAACTTCTCAAGCTCTTTGGCACCTCTCTGAATTTGAGTTCCTCTCTAAATTTCTCCTCACTAGGTATAAGTGATGTCTGTAGTAACCCTGCCCTGGTAGGTAACGCTCATGAATTAATGTGACCCTCCTGTTGCGTTTGAATCCCTTCCCATCATTCCCTACACTGACCACTAACACTTGTGCTTATTTCCTCTTTCTAACCATCGTGAGTTGCCATTAGCATCTGTATTGTTTCTGTATGTTGAAGCATCCAGTTTGCTCTCCAAATGAAACCCTGGTTAGACTTGTTCCCCGCTGGTGTCTTTTCACGCTGAGAGTGGAAAGGACCGGCTGCGCTCGTTCCGTCATGCCATTGGTGGAAACCAGTGTCAGTCATTGCTGTGCCATCCCTAGGGCCCTATGAATCAGTTTCATTTTTTCCCCCCAAATTCATCTTTTATTTCAGTTGTAATTTTTCTGCATTCTGTTTAATGGTTACATTTATATTTTATTAATCATATACAATGTCTAGTTATAATGAAACGTATGCAACTTAAGTTTAAGAAATTACATTAGCCTATTAAATCCTTTTATTTTTTTCTCATTGTTTTATTTTTTGCCAAATATATATATATTTTTTTCTTCAGTTTTAATCTCTCTGGATTCTGTTTTAATAGTTAAATTATATTTTATTAATCAAAAATCATGTCTAGTTAATCAAGAAGTTTCCTCAGTTTCTTATGTTTGACAAATTACGTTCAAGGCCTTATGAAATCCAGTTGTTTTTTTTCCCTCAAATTGTTTAATTTATTTTGTAATTAAAAAGCATGTCCAGTTATTTGATAACATTAAACTTATGCAATTTGACAGTTATATTAAGTTTAACAAATATTTTTGGGCATTATGAAATCCATTTTTATTATCCCTGATTTATTTTATCTATGCCTTATTCCAATTTTCAATGTAATTTTTTTTAGTATTTAAGTCTAATTAATCCTGTAATTGATTCAATTTAACAACAATTTATGTTCAACTAATTATATTTTAGGGTCTTATGAAACCCATTTTTACTATCCCCGATTTATTTATTTATTTATTTATATTTATTTAAATATTTCTAGATGGATTTTCCCCCGCTTCGATTCATTTACATTTTAATGGGACCTGTTTTAATGGTTAAACTAAATAGTAATTAATTACATTTTTATATTAATTAAAGCTTAATTAATCATGATTTCTTCATTTATTGATGATCATTTATTTGATCTCAAATTACATTTTTCTTTTTTTCTGCAGTCTCTTTATTTTTTATTTACAGTAATTTAATAAATGTTTAATCTCCTCAGAAATTATTTAGAGATATCTGGTTTTAATGTTTTATAAAACATTAACAGTTAAAAGTAATCAAATGAGAATTTAAGTTTAGGGTTTAGGGGGTGAATGGATGATTCCTGAAGTTTTAATAATTTGATAACTTTGAAAAGTGCTGGTCAAAAGTTCTGCAGACCCTTTTTGTGTGTGTATGTGATTATCAAACAATGGTAACATGCTTATGAAGTTACACTGTAAATTCCACTTATGACTAAATTCCACAATTTCTCCCGTCACAGAAATCATAGGCCCCTAAGGCCCCTAATGTGTTGCCGTGTGATTTGATTGGCTGAAACACTTAAGGACCCCAAGCCTGAGCTGTTTTCACAATGGAAATGCATTTTGTGTGCAAAACGCGTAACTCTTCCTCGCTCTGTTGGTTTGTTTCACAGAAGGATGCCAACCCTCCAGAGGAGTGCAAACAGCAGTGATGGCAGCGCCACCTCCTTCAGGATCCCCTACACTGTAACGGCTTCAAACAAACATAGTTACTTACCGCCTTACAATGTTTTGTATTTTTCTTGGTAGAAATAATTGAAAAATTAAATAAAAGGGTTTCGAGATTTTTGTTACAAAAAAAAGAAAAAAGAAAAACCACCACACACAACTCCTCTATCGGGAGCCGCGGCTCATGACACATAGTATTTTACTAGACCGGTTTCTTTCGTTTTCCTTTTTCTCTGTATAAATAGTTAGAATGCAGAAAATCCCTTGAAGCATGACACTCGTTTCTTCACCGCTAAACTAGTTGGGTTCTCGTAAAGTCTTTTGTATTGCTCTTAGACAACAGCTGTGGAAAGACGGTCCGGTTTACAGGAGAAGCGTCCGGAGAGATTCATTCGGTTAACCTTCCACGAAAACGTTGGCTGTTTTAGGTTGGGAGGATGTTTAAAGCTTGGTGGAGACTGATGCATATTCCACATCCGTTCAGTCGGCGCTCTGCTGCATGACTCCTTTCTTTTCTGTGAGCACTTTGTATTTTCGTCATGTATCCGTAGCGTTTATTTTTTCCATCGATTCGGCCAATGCTTAACTTTTAACTGGCTTGCCGTTCTTTAGGTGGGTTCTCTGCTCCACGGAATGCACTTACAATGATCCGAGCGACCTCATTGGAGGATTAGACTTTGAACGAGAGAACCTGATTGGAGGAGCCAGTCTAGCTAGTCTCTGATTGGCTGGTTTCTGAGCTCGGCTCGGAATGATGTTTGTGGTGAAACACCACCTCTGTTTGGCAGGCCTATCACTGTGAATGTGTGTGTGTGTGTGTGTTCAGAGGAAGGTAGTCTTCGTCTCCTCTCACTCGTAGCGCAGCCCAGCAGGTCTGAAGCAGATAGAGCAATATTTTCACCCGGAAAGCCCCACCGCCGCAGTATCCCGTGTCTCGTGGCCCGGCTCTGTCCGGATCACCGGTCAGTCGGTTAGTTAGTTGTCTGGTGAGCGGTTGAAGCAGCAGGGGTCTTTCTGGTTCCCCTCAGCAGCTGTTGTCAAAGCAAAATACCATGCTACAAAATACTAATGTACTCAATAACTGTACGTGGATGTATATTCATGAAAAATAAATTGGTAAAACGTGCAAGCCTTGGTCTGTCTTCTGTTCATGTGTAAAGCTTATCAGTTTAACCAAATCATTAAGGCTGTAATTTAAGCACCAGTTTTATGATGGTTTGTGTGAGTAGGTGAATATTTTGTAATCATTCAATGACTCCACTAGGCGGCAACATTGAGTTCAAATTGCCTGGATTAAATTTGACCACTCGTGGTCAATTTTGACCTCATTTTATAATAAAGATGTAATGGGTCTGTTACTTATTTCAAAAGATGGAGTTAAAAGGTTAAATGAGTAATTGATTTATATATCATTAATGTTGCTAAAAATACTAAATTATCATCTCGGTGTACATAATGGAAGAGAAAAAAATCAGGAAAAAAATATATTGCGTTTGTCCATAATGGTTTATTAATTTTTTTTGGCTTGTGGACTTGGAATGCAATATTTGTTTTAAATCAAACATTACAAAAGTATTAAATTAGGATGGTTTTACATCAAGTCTTGTTAAAATGAGATGTATTTCATTTATTTATTTTAATTATTACCAGTGCTGTTATAGTATCATTTAGATATTATAGTTTTTACTAATAGGTTGAATCTTATTTTGTGTTTTTCATTTTAAGTTCACATAATTATAGCATTGTGTTCCGTTTTTTTTTATATTTATAGTATATAGTTTTTTATAGTATATACTTTTTTTTAAATTTTTTTAAAGGTTTTAGTTATTTTAGTAGGCTACATTAATTGAGATGAGCTGGCATATTATTTAAATATTTTATTTCAGTTTGAGATTTTTTTTTAATGGTTTTTAAGTTCTGGTTTTCGTTAATTATAATAACCCTGATGAGCACATGCTGTTTATATTAAAATTCTTTTTGTATTGTCATTTAGTATTTGTATATATATTAACTTTAATTCTCAAAAATATTTTTCATGTTTCAAATAGTTGGGTGTTAAACCGTAAAATTGTTTTAGTATTTTTTTATTTATTCTGATATTAGTTTAAAATCGTAATATTTTACATAGTGCTGTTGCAATATTTAATAGTATTACTCTTTCCAAATGTTTTAAATGTTCACATTAATTTACATAATATAGAATAAGATTGATTCCTAAAAATGCTGCCTAGATAGGCGCCTTATATGGTTTTGTGAGGCTCGAGTGTGTGTGTGTGTGTGTGTGTGTG